TATGATGATATAATATACATCAAACAGTTTTAGAATAATATTAAGTATGTTCTTTTTGACAATATTTTTAGTCTCTTAAGTTGTTACAAACGGGTGATTTTATTATGGCGTTGAGTCATAATCTGTGTATTTGTATACTAAATTCCTACTCGAGTTCTTATAAAATTTGATATTTTAGTTTATATATGAAAAATATATGTTCTTACAATATCTACAGACACCAGTTCCTACTATTAATTTACAAGATCCTCTTGAAAATTGACAACAGTAAAATATTGTGCACTTTCCTAATAATATGATTTGTTAAATTGTTCTATTTATTATTATAAGTATAGATAGTTAGCATTTTATATTGTATACTACTATTAGGTATGTAAGTAACTAGTTATAATATTTTAGGTTTTATTTTATTGATTAAAAAAATACTTCTGCAGCATAGGCTGACATTAGTTAAAAATCACAATATAATATTTTATACAGTTATATATTTATACAGTTATAATTATAAAACTTTTTTTAAAATAAAATATGTTATTTACATAAATTTATTTGTTTAAGAAAATTGATTAATTCTAGGTTTTCCGTGATTAGGTCTATGTGTGTGGTTTGTTTATTTTATTTTATATAATAGGTAGGTATTAGAAATAAGTTTGGTATCCATAATCAGAAAAAATAAATCTATAATAAATTGGCAGATTTTTCAGAAAATTATACACATTAAGCAAGCGTATTACACATAATATTACATCCACCTAATTCAAGTTGAACATCACGTTAAATATAAAAGTACAATTTATCCTGCAGTTTAATATGTAATAATGATACATCTTCTACAGTTACGTCGTAGAAAACGCGCGTTAAGAGTTTTATAGTCATCACTAAATATACACTAAAGAGTATATAAAAACCAATATGATAAAAGCCGATAAAAAAAAAATGTATTTTATAATAAATATAAAACTATTTTATTACAAACTATTTTGTAGTTTAAGCTTTTAAGAACGACGTAATACGTTTAGTAATAAAATAGAAAGTTTGTTTGTCGTTCGATAACATCACATATTGTGATCATTACACGGCGTTATGGATAGGCTTTTCAGATACACTCATGTCGAGTTTTTATTATTATGGTATCTCATAAGAAATGTATTATATTTTGTTAAAAGAATACATCAAAGTACGATGACATAATAATAATATATTATGTAAACGAGTGTCAGTAAGGATAAATAAATTACAATGAAGCCTTTAATACCAGACACTTCGGTCACTGTAATTTTGTCCCCTATATAGTATATTCGGAGGGTTCAACTTGTACAAAATAATTGTGTAATTTGTTCCTAAAAAAAACTTTCACTATTAGGAGGTGGTCACTATTATTAGAAGTCCGTTAGGGAAGATTTCACTATAATATAATAATGTCTCCATAAAATTTTAGGTAACTCGGGATGAATTAGATAATTATAGTAGGTATTCATAATTTATTTGAAAATGATTATACTGAATCGTGTTCATGCAGTAATGGACATTTACCTATTTATAGAAGTAGATGGAATATTGGAACAGTTTACAAATTCAAGTATTTGAAATATAATATAGTTCAATATAAACATTACATTTCGTATTGATCTATAAAGAATAAAATGGTTTTTGCCAGTTTTTTTGGAATAGTTTTCTGGGGAAATCGTCATGGGAAATACTTTATCTCTGCGGCAGACGGACAAATAACATGATTTTATTTCTTGAAACAGTATTTTTAGTTTATTAAGTACGTTTTTTTTAATTTTTTTAAACAACAATATATATATACATATTACATATACACTTCACAGTGGTTGGCATCTTAATGTTATAAATCTTTTCCGGTTGCATTCACAGAAGTATAGTACTTCAATATTCGTTGCACAGTCTTACAGTCAAATAATTGTCTCAAATAATACTCTGTTAAATTTAGTATGATTTACAAATTATTATGAATACTGCATCGCTATATTGTAAGTGAACAAATCTGTTTAAAACAAATTTATATTAACATTAAAAATGTGGACAAGTGGGTACCGCTCTGCTGTACAGTAGTTGTCGAGTATGTCATTGTAATAGATGTGTTAGGTATAAATTTATTGATGACTCTTCGCATACGAAAAATAATTCCCAGCGGTGATGGTCACAGTGTACAAATAATCAAAATATGTAATAATTAAAAACCACTTAATACCAAAATACATCTTAAAAGTTTTAAATTCAAACGTGCATAGAAATAAATCTTACTTTACGGTAAATTGTTTTTTTTTAAAGTATAGAAACATGTGTACAATTTTCTATTAAAAGGTTTATTGTTATCTATGAAAATAAAAAGAAAAACTTTTGTGAACTTCTAAAGTGTTTGGGATATTGATGAATTTGATCAACATTTGCAACATATGCATGCAACAAATATTCATGCCTATGTATCTTTAATATTTTTGAACTGATATTAAAACAACTTATGAAATAATTAGTTATTATATAAATAATATAAAATTGGTTGCATTAAACTGTCAAGCTTTTTTACAAAGTGAAAAAGAGTCAACAATTTTGAAAATATGTCTTCGTCTTACAAAATAATATGTACAACAAAGATAAATCTGTTTTGCGTGGGACAATTGTATTCCCTCTATACTTATAGTAGAATTAAAAAAATTCCACAACGCATTTGAAAGAACATAATGTGTGCCGTAGTTTTTTTTCATTTTTTTTTGATAGTGCTAACCAATAATTTTAAATAATTAAACAAAAAAAACTTTATGTTCTGAAACTGATAACTTTAAATCTATTTATGTTATCCAAATAATAAAAACACTATGACATAGATAAATTTCTTGCCTATGAGTTGTGGAATTTTGGCAGTTTTACTATAAATACAGTGGGTATAAAGCAGTTTTTGTTATTTTGTAAATTTGTAAGACGGGGACAACACATGCAGGTGCAGTGACGTCCCCTTAACTTTTTTCACTGGAATTTAAAATAATATATCAAGTTAAAATATTTTTAAAATTGTTGGTTTTAATGGTTTTATACACTAATTTGTCACTGTATACACGATTTTAAATAATATTAATCTAATGCTATAATAATAGTATTGTTTCATTCATTTTCATTGTTTCTTGATACAAATATAATATATTTTATAGGTAGGTAAAAAATATTCTTTATGTGACCCACGTGATAACTAATTCAATCTGAGATGAGTTAATATTTATTCCCTTTTAACTTTAAACTTAACGAGTGCAATTTATTAATTGTTAACTATTAAGTTCCAACTTTTCAATATTGTGTTCACTTAATTCGAGTAATCACTTTCATTAATTTGCCCGCCTTTGACCCTAACTGTTGGTTGCCCCATGGGCCATGAATCAGCGACAGGATTATGTTTTATTTTTACGAATTTTGACTGAAATACGGAAAAATAATTTAATAACTTGATTTAATTATAAAATAATTTCATTAAAAAATGTTTCTTTATTCTGTGTATTGGGATTATATACTTTGGGGTATATATTACTACATAATAAATAGTTAGTTTGTAATTAAATTTTTTTATATATTATATAAATATATGCAAACATGCATACATTATTTAGTGGAAACTATAATTAAAATAGATATTATAATATCATTAGTCAATAGTCGTAAGTTCATGCATCTGCGTGTTTTTTTGCTACACAGGAACACATGCTAACTGAGATACAAATCCGTTTCATAACAATAGTAATAATAATATGAAGTTTGATAGTGCATGTTTTTGCGTGTTTAGGGTATTAAGGTATATTTGGCATATAGTCGATTTTTTACAGTCGTTAGTGCATATTATTTCATATAAATATGTTTTAGACAAATATTTGAAAAGTTTCTTGTTTCTTATTTACTTTCCCATTTACAAAAATATAGTGTTTTGGTTTATTTTTATTCAGTGTGTGTGTGATTACCTAGTGTCCTAGTACATACTTATTTAGATTTTATGCGTTTTACGTATTACCGGAAACAATGTAATCGTTACCACTACCATCCTTCACCCACAAAGTCCGTCGTTGAAACGAACCTGTACAAGCGTGTAGCTTCTCACCAACCCACATTTATAATTTTGTACATTGGTAAAGTATAGTTTTCTTGCACTCGCCGATGAGTTTACTCGTATGAGTCGTATGCGTTCGTTCGTTCAATTTCCTAATGTAGTGCTTTCGTGTGAGCCGCGAGGCTCATTATTCATATTTTATTTAAACAATGTCAAAAGAAAAACAAACAGTTGCAAAACCGTTTGCAAAATTTTATGGCGGAATTTTATTTTTTTCTAATTTATGGATTTATTCTTATTATTTTTAAATATGCTAGTGATTTTTTAACATAATATACATATATTTTGAGTGCATAGTTTTAAAATGTTAGGACATATAAAAGCACATTTTTGAACTTTTTAGTGCATGAATGCATGCTTATTTAGTGCATGAAGTTACGAGCCCTGATTATTATTTTTAAATTTAATCGGTATTAACACTATTTTAAATAACGATAAAAGCAAAACTAGTATAACGTTTTAATTCTTATAACGTTAAAGGCAAAAGTTGAATAACGTTTTAATTCTAAATTACGATAAACGCAAAAATTGGGTAACGTTTTCATTGTAAATAACATAAAACGGAAATTTTTTTCAAATGGTTTATACCTATGACCTATTTGTCGTGGTTACTCGGACGTAATAATACAAATATCAGCTATTAAAGTATAATATGATTGCATGTCATATTCTAATTAATTTAAAAAAATAATCATTATTGGTAATATGCCTGTGTATTTGCATCAAAATCGTTTGTTGAACGTGTAAATTAAAAATAATAATAATTCAAATCCATTTTAAACATATCTCTAGTCGCGATTAAATAAATTAAATAAAAAAAAAATCGAAAATCAATTGAATAATTTGATTAAAATCAAAGACTACTAAATACTATTCATCGAATATAACATTACGACTGCAGAGTTTGTTTCTGATTTATTTGACAAGCCATCACACTGGCTGTTGTATTTTCGGCTTTCACTTTTTTATTCAACACGACGTTATTTTGATTAGCCCACTCGGGGTAATTAGCCTCGTACAAAGTTTTCAGACCCAAAGAATTCGCTATTTCTTGACTCTTTTTGTTGGTGAATATTCCTGATATGACGTTGCATCCCAGATGCACCATCTCGGGTAACTGCTGATTGATTACGCACTCCAACAGTTTTTTACCCAGTCCTGTGTGTTGTAAAAAAAAAAAATATTAATTCAGTCGATTTAAACTAGGTATAGGTATAATTTTTTAATACCTATATATACTTAGTAAATTAAGAAATATAAAAAAACGCCATAGTTTTATATTATTTTTGCCGGAACATTTTATTTAGTGTATACGAATTTTCGTATCTCGTTCGAGTGTTTGACTAATATATTATACTGAAAGGGATCGGTGGCGGATAGTTTTTAAGGAGTTCAAATTATGCTATTTGAAAATTGCATGCATGCGGGTCTTGTAAATTTATGAGTAGTATGTGATCATTAGTGTGTGTAAAAGAAATAGCGGAGCATTCCTGTAAACTTATGTACAAGACGTTGTTCCGACGTGGTGCGAGTGAATGGTAAACAATTTATGCACTTATGTATTTTGTTCCATCCTACCCATCGACCTAAGAATGCGATCTATTTTCAGAAAACTGATATGAATTTGTTATAATGTCTACATGATGTCAGCCCATATTAATATTTCTGATTTAAATTACAAATTATCAACGTTTAAAAATTTGGAAATTTCAAAATATTCAAACTAAATGTATAGTTGATGGGTGGGGGGGGGGGGGTGTGCAATTTTGAAAATCTGACCGATCTCAAGTAGACATAATAAAGAATTCAAATCAGTTTTAAAAATTATTATCGCATTACTAGGTCGATCAGTATGGTTGAATAAAAATTGGTATGTCTTGGTTAAAATAACTGTCCGCTACCGATCCCCTAAAAGAAACATTATTATGCCATTTACAAATTACCAATAAACGTACTATGTAGGCATTACTAAAATACACTTACCTTGACCTCTATACTGTGGAAGAATAAACCAAGCGTAAACTCTGAAGAATGCTACAGTTTTGTAATATTTGTAAATGTCAACTTTTTGGCTCAAGTAGTTTTTGAAATTCTGTATTATATTCCATTTTTCTCCTTCGTACAACTAAAACATTTATTTTTCGTGCATTAAAACAAAGATAAATAAAAACTCGGAAAATCGCTCTGTCGTATAGTTGTTGGATCGGGGTCGAGTATACCTAACCTATCGTCACTGCAAAGTATAGGTCACTGCGTAATGGATGTGTTAATTATAAATTCAATTATAAATCATCGCATAAAAGAAAAACAATCATTCTGAGAGTCAGTCTCTGTTTCTGAGAATATTTTATAATGCATTTTAGTAATGAATAATAAAATAGACACATGTCTTGTGTGACACATAAATTGACTAAGCATACTGGCATAATTATTATTTGTCTATTTACAACAATAGGTTGAACTTATCTTAGCTAAATACACATCATATTATATTATACTTAGTACTTGGTGCCCAGATTTAAAATCAAGTACATTATATTTTACCGGTGCTGTATAGGACAAAGCATTTCAAATTCATAGTTAATTTCGTCTATAACAGATACATCAAAAGTGGAACTTTTATTTTGAACTCCTATTCAATTTTTTTCCACTTGAGATCATTTTTTTTTAAGTTTTCATGTTATTTTATTAAATTTTACTTTTATGTATTAATAAATTTAACGAGATTTTTGTGTAATTACTAATTTAGGAAATTCAAAATATCGTATCAATGAATATTGTTTTCATAATTATGTTATGTTTATGTTATCGACGGTATAAGCTATTTTTAATTCTGCATAGAAGAAAAATTAATTTCATCCCCCCACCCCCCACAAACGCAAATTTTATATTTCTGGATCCTGTTTGTCATTAACTTATTTAAGTCATTATTAATGACATACTGAGTAACGTAGAATGACCAATAATGATGTTCATAGTTTAAATAGATTAAAATTAGTTTATATAATATGTTTAAAATGTTATTATAATAATATCGAGAATAATATGATTTATTGAAGATAACAACAATATACGTAACGGTGAAAAGTTTCAAGTCCCTACGGTTTATATTTTTCAAATTACGCTACATAATAACTAAAATTGTAAGTTTTCGTTTAAAATTTTAATTTGAACAAAATATTGATCCACGTCTTTACAAGTAACTAATTAAGTATGAAATTCTGAACTTTCGGAAACTTTCCACGAAAAAGAGTGTTTATCTTTTAACAGAATTTGATTATTTAATTGTCCGGTTTCAAATTATTGTATACGTAGGGCGTATGTACCATCGTTTTGTAAATTAAATTTGTCCAATTACTCTCAATCTGCTAAACTCTAATGAATTATCTTCAATCGAACAAAATCTGCAGACAATTATTCCAATACATTTCCCGGAGCTTTTTTCAATTACGATTGATGATAGAGTATCCGAAATCCAATGTTTGATCAAATATAAAAATTGATCAACTGAATCTTGATCTGATGACAATGTGTTACTATTGCATAGTGATTCTTCGTAAATATAATTATTCTGAAAATAAAAAGATATTAGTTTTTTTTTTTTTAATAATCGATTATATTAATTATATTACAATTTCGGCACAAGAAATAGTTAAACTACGCCTACTTAAAATGTTGAAAATATTTTTCACTCTGATTTTAACAATATCAATTACATTTTACTTAGAATAATAAATAATAATAATATCTACAAAACTGTTTCAAGTTTCCAATATTTAAAAAATAAGAATAGATTTAGGTCAGCAACTGTACCTCACCAGACGGAATATCTAGTTAATCCGGATGGATCAATATATTTATTTTTTATCCTAAATTAATTCATATAGGTTTAAACCTATGCTGACTACGTGTAGTGGTAAGACTCAAAATGTAATTAAAATTATTATGAATAAAATAAGTTTTCATAGTTTTGTTCATCTAAAACTTGGTTTACAGACATTTTGTTGCTAAAATCATTCTGTTTAATCTAGACTTTAGTTGAAGCAGAAAGGGTCCTAAAATGTCTGGATTAGCGAGGTTCTATTGTATAAGTAAGTACCTACTTATCTATTGTTACATATTATTATATTTTTCAATTTAAACTAAATTTCATATTTATATATTACATAAATCAATATATTCTTTTGAGTTAAATTCGATGGAAAACTGGTTGGACAGTAATAAAAATGTGTAATTGGTTAGTAATTGGTTATCTACCTACTTATATGCATATCGGTCGTTACCATTTTACCTATTATCGAGTACGAGTACGTATAAAAGGAAGTTTGTAATTTTCACCATCGCAGGTATCCAAAAATATTGAGGTAATTACCACACAAGAGCACCGAAATAAGTAAGATATATTTATTTGATAATCAAATATTCGATTATTCCCTCGGAGGCTCGACGGACTCGAATGACAATAATGCATGATAATTATTTTATTAATGATTTTTTAAGGGTAATTAAAGATACCTAATTTTACAATAATATTTATTACACACAGAAAATATCGATAGACGATAATGAATATTTTATTAATCAAGATTTTCAAATTACTATATGTTAATGGCTTTAAATTAGATATAAATGGTAATTTTAACCATCAGTTAATTTATCATTTATCAATTTAGTCAAATGTATTAATTGTTTTTTAGTATTTGATACTATAAATAAACTTTTAAAAATATTATCTTACCTACTATAAATGTACGACTATCAACATTTAGATAGTTATATAATGAAATTTTTTTTAAAAATTTAAAATTATAAAACTATACTAGGCCAAATCACTCTATTATTAAAGTTTATTGCATAATACCGAATCTGGTGAGCATAAAATATGTGCAATGTTGCCGTATGCACTTAATAATATGCGGGTGTGGTGTCCTCTTAGTATTTAATTTTTTTCTTGTCACTGTGATGAACGAATTTCTAGCTTTATCTACCATAAATCGAGAACATAATATTATAGACAAATATGTAAATCCTGAAATAACGTCTGAGTCATAGACTTATCATCATGTAAGAAAACGATTAAATCCAGACAAACGCACCCCAAAATTTGGTTCACTGAGTAAAAATATTTTTATAAACGCATTGAAATTATTTTGTTATTTCTAAACCTCAGAATTTGAATAATCATTTTTCATGTTATTTATGTTGCTTTATGTTTTGTTATCCAGTAACGTCATAATATTTTTTAAAACATAATTTTGTATAAATTTTATTTCAAGAGAGTACATGTACAGTGTACAGTGTACACATACAATGTCTGATACGTAAGAATGTACCAACTAATATAAAAATATATCTACTTAATACTGATACTTAAGAGTGATCTGCAGGAATTTGTAGAAGGGAGAAAGGGGAGCGAAATATTTTCATTTTTCAATTTTTAGTTTCACTTTAATATTAGTGAAAAATTACTTATGGTTCGTGACATGTTTTCATCCATACAGGTGGATAATGTAAAATGTATTTATAAATGATGTAGGTAGTTAGTTATAACTTAATTTTACAGATGGCAGAATTAATTTTTAATTAATATGTACCTATTTAATTAAAACTATATGTAAATTTTAATTAACAAATGCGGTTTTTATAAATACCAACATAAAATGTTACATACTACTTATTTTATAGTTTTAGATTATTTATAAAATAAATAAATATCAACCAAATAATTTAAAAATTTAAATTATTTTTATTTATAAACATACCTAACTGTATTAATTATAAATCAGACTAAGTCACTGATACCACAAATTATTCTATGTATTCTTTGAACATTACATTTTTTTATCAAACAAGTAAAAACTTGATTGACACTGCACTTGGCCCCACCATCACATGCCATAAATTTCAAAAAAAAAAAATCAACGTTCTTATAGTTCTGACGTTTATAATCGAGTTTAATAAATGTCACACGGAAAAAAAATGGTTTTTTTTTTTTAATTTAAAAAAACCTTTATTTTGTAATATTTTATATTACGCATAATGATTATGATAATAATTAACCAGGAAAAAAAACCAAGAAGGGAAACTGCTCATACTTGTCCCCTGCGTATACCCTTGTTGATACTAACTACATTAGGTATGTAAATATTATCTGAGATTTATGTTCAAACGGTTTCAAAATAAAATACATCTTAATATAAAATATTATAAATATATTAACAGTGATGGGCAAGATACTAAAAAATCATTATCTCAATACTAGATACTATAGATACTTGGATTTGGAGTATCGAGATACTAGATACTTGATAGTTACATTTGAAGTATTTAGATACTCGAAACCCGATACTCAATACTCGATATATTTGAATAAAATTACCTAGGTTTTTTTAAATTTTTATTTGTACATAATTAGGTAGGTATATTAATTAGTTGATATGGACCACAAAATAGCTTAATAATAATATTCTACAAGATAATAATTATTATTCAAGTACATAATTATTTAGATAGTCATAAAGTAAATAGGTAATAAGTAATAACTTAGTTATATTAAACTAGTATTTTATAATGTATTATATTGATAAAAACGGTAAATACTGATTTTTATAATACTATAGTCAATAATATTACTAATTACTATAATAATTAGTAATTACTTGATATTTAATTATATTTATAAAATTATACTAATAATTTATTTTAGTACGTACCTTCTACCTATGTTATAAATGTTTAATTATATAATGTGTGGATACTTGGTATAATTATATAATAATAGTCACTAGTCAGAGTTGAATTTAATTTATATTGTACATAACGTCTGGATTACGAATAATTTATTTATTTATTTAGTATAATACTATAGTAAAACGTCTTGTTTCCTTTTAAAAATAGTAATTTTTCAAAAGTGACGTCTCATAATTTATTCATACAAGTTGTGGGCTACAGCTTACACGAAATCACCTATGACTACTTAATTATATTTGTATTCCCAAAATAAATATTAATTATGATAGTTAAAATCAGAATTGTTTATAATTTGAAATTAATTAATACTGCCATTAAATTAAAGTATTAATACATTTAAATTTTCCTCGTTTTTTACACATATTATACTAAAACATGGTCAAATAGTCGAAAATGGTAGGTATTCGTGTGAAAATAATCGTAAAAAATTTATTTTTCGAAGTATCACATTAATGTATCGAGTATTTTTGGATTAAATTATTTTAGAAAATACTCGAAACATTGACTAAAAATGTATCGCAATACAAGATACTCTATACTTCATAGTATAATTGTATCGAGACACAAGGTACAAGATACTTGTATCGAAAATATTGTCCAACCCTGTCAATTATAAATAGATATTTAATTTAAAAATACAAAGGTAAATAACTACCTATAGGTATTAAGACGATTTAACTGTAATTATAAATTATTTCTGAATTATTTTAACAACTTATAATATATAGGTTACCTAATATAATATTATGATAAATAATTACTTTAAACATATCCAAGACTTCGTCGAATCGCTCTTCAACAAATACTTGAAAAATGAATTCTGATTTGAAGACCGTCCATATTCTAGGTTGAGTTATTCTCGTCATGAAGTCTTCGTCTGTTTCTTCTTCTGCCGGTAAATCTTGTTTCGGCTTAGACGACATCGTTAATATCGAATTCGTTAACCGAACAGTAAAAACTAATTTCCGTTCGTAAATCGTAGTAACCGTACTATATACTTTAGTGTGTATATACTTTACCTACCACCTATTTAGAGACGATATACCTAACCACGGTAGTTTAACTCCATCGATCGTTAATATAATGGTTACCAAGGTTACAATGATTCGCAAAATTATCAATAATTCAAACTATGATATTAAAATATTATTATAAACATACTCGGTATTATTATTATTATCGTATAAAAACGTACATAGGTACCCATTTTTAGACATTATATTGTGTTTCTAGTGTTTCGCTTTGTTTTTGACGATGTCGGAGGGCTCGCAAAACAATATCCGATAATAAATATTTACCGATCAAACATGCACGCCCCTGCGAATTGAGGGTCGATACGAACAATAGAGAAACAGCAATTTTCCGCTTCCGGTGTTATACATATTATGTTTGTATACATAAACTACTCACTGCACAGTATTTACAATAGTAGGTACCTATATACACAAACATAAAGAAAGTCAACAAAACGTCCATGCTATATAATAATACTTAAATAATTATAGATTAATATTTAAAAATATTCTTCTGAATGATTTTCATTTTTTATTGAAAGTCACTCGCAATAATAATAAGAAAAATGGTCTAAAATAAAAAATTCTACGGACTTAGAGGATTCGGAAACGGGGCTACCCGTTTCCACCAAAATTATACCTAGTTATAACGAATAATAGATGGGTGGAATTCGAAAAAATGGTATAGAACCGAACCAGTTCCAAAATTTTTATTTAATATCAAACTGAATAAAATTCGAACTTCAAAAACATCAAAATCCAAGACGAGTTGAGTTGATGAATGAAATAAAAAAAAATTGTATTTTTACAACAATAAAAAAACATAAAGAAAGTCAACAAAACGTTCATGCTATAATATAGCTATCATATTATGATAATACGTAAATAACAGTATGATATATTAATATTTAAATATATTGTTCATAAATGATTTTCGTCTTGTATAAAAAGATATCTTCAAATATTTTGAAAACAAACAACTTTGTATTCAATACTAAATATTATATTTAGGTATTATATTGTTGTACTATTACTACGTCATGTTAGTATTCCAGTAGAAATACATACCTATTATCAAATTGTTCGTTCACCTACTGCTGTTGTAGAAATAATAGCATAATAACGTTTCATAATTTATTGTACTTATCAAATATTGTCGCATGCACTGTTTTACAATACTGAAAATATTAATTTCTTGTTTCTGTGAACTAACATTATGTAATGAACATACGTTTATCAAAAATTAATAATTTAATTTATATTTCACCTACTACAGGTTAAATATATTAAATAATTTTTTACTGTAAGTGGGCTCAGAACCGAATGTTGCTAATTTGGATTTTTACTTATTGAGATAAAATATTAGTTATCCAGAGTAGGATTTATGAGATTCTTATTAAAGTAGGTACTTACAAGAAATTCCAAAGTTGATACATTTCATAATAATATACATATATTCTCAAATTTTCAAATGTTTTGTAATCAAAAATCTTTATATTCAATACTTAATACTTTAAACTATTTTGATCACGAAAGTGTCATCAGTGGGTGGCTTCTTCATTCAAGATTTTCTTCTTTTTGTATTGTAGCTCATACTCGTATTGTGCCTTATTGTGTACAGATTGTGTATTTTATTAATAAAGAAAAAAAAATGTTTGATCAGAATATCGTTAACGATATTAATATACCAATAGAAAGATATATTATCCAATTTGTTCATTCACATACTGCTTTAATAAAAAACAAACATAATAGTATTTCTTCACTCAAAATTGTATACAATTGTAAAAAGTTTCAAAAGTTTTACAACTTTATAAAAGTATCAGTTTTTAACAAAACTGTTTTACTAGACTAAAATATTAATTTTTTGTTGTTGTGAAATACTGAACTGGCATTATAATAATAATATAATATGCATAAGTTTATCAAGAAATTATAATTGAATTCATAACTTCGTTATTATAGATTTACGAAGTACGAATACAAACGGTTTTTCTCAGAACCAAATGGTTTATTTTTACTAATTATTATAAATTAGTTACCTATCCAAAGAAGGACTCAGAAAAGAAACACTTCATAGGATAAACATTCTAAAATCTATAGCTCATACATCTTGGGGAGCTCACCCTCTATTATAAGTATAAAGCTTTAATTCTTTCCAAAATATAATACAGATCATTTCTGTTTCACAATGCCAACCATAACAAACTACAAATAATCGACTCTATCCACAATGCAGGTTTAAGAATTTCCATAGGCGCATTTAAATCAAGCTCATGTAGCAGAATTTATAATATTGCTGAAATTCCCTCTCTTCAAATCCATAGACTACAAAACGTTATCACAACAGCATCCAAAAGAGCACTAAACAAACTAAAAATCATGGAAAACATTAAAGACGGAATAGAAAAAATAAATGTCTTTATGTCTCCCACTCTGGAATAATTACTAGAGAAAGTCTCTTAATCCCTCCCTAGATAGCCCAGATAAACATTAAAACTGAAATGAACACTCTTAAAAAAACTATACATCACTACATACATATAGACAATACTATAGGCAGATGAGAGATAGCTATAAAGATTATATGGAAATGTATACAGATGGCTCCAAATCTGACAAAGAAGTTGACACAACAGTGATATTCCAAGATATAGAAATAATGTTAAGATTGCCCAACGACTGCTCCATATATACCGCGGAAGCACAAGCTATAATTCAAGCCCTTAACCTTATTAAAAACAAAAATATACAAAAAGCTTTATTTTTCAGTGATTCTCTTAGTATACTTATGAGTATTCAAAACTCTGTTTGACCAAATGAGACTGCTAGAACAGTATAGAACCAAATATACAGACTACAAAAAGAAAACTTTACTATAAAAATAATTTGGATACAGAGCCATATTGATATCACCGGAAACGAAAGAGGAGATAAACTCGCAAAAGAGACCATTGTATCAACAGATGCAACCCAATGAAAAGTATATCCATTATCCGACATTAAACTGATAATTAAAAATACAATTCTCAACATTTCTCAAAACGAATGGAAAATATCTAACACCAAATTAAACGAAATTAAAAATCATATTCATCCATGGCATACTAACTTTTTCACCAGAAAAGAAGAAGTGGCCATAAACAGGCTCAGAATAAATCACACCTGCTTAACCCTTGTTTTCCTGATGAAGAAAGAAGACCCATATGCCCAACCTGCAACCTCCCCCTGACGGTCAAACACATTGTAACCGAATGTAGGATGTATGAACCACAACGTCTAAAGTACAGTTTGACCCACCACTTAGCTGAAAACCGAAACGCTGGTATCATTAATGTTCTCAAATTCCTTAGGCGCATAGAACTCTTTAATAAAATGTATCTAGTAATGTATTCGTATGATGTTTATTACAAATGTAGAATAAGTACTAATACTTATAATGTATTACTATTAAGCTTATAAGCTTTTACCTATTGTAATAATTTACCCCTTAATGTAACAATAATGTTAAATATTAAATATTGTAGCCAATGGCCTAATTCGCCGAGGCAGTTTTTATCAATAATAAAAAAAAAGTCCGTGCATGCAGAATAATATGCTTTCTATAATCGTTTGATAACGATGATATTGAGTGTACATTTTCATTAATAATTTATTGAGTTTTATTTTTTTTTTTTTACACAGAGTCGCGCGCGATTCAAATGGGTGGAACAGAATGACAGTAATTTTGGTCGAAGTTGTTTGACGCATCGAACTATTTACATCGAATAATAATAATATAAAAACTACTTTTCGCACGTTTTATTATTATTTATGGATTAAAACAATATTAAGGCTGCAATAATGGCCGTCGATTTATCCCTTAAAATCAAACTTTATTGCATCACATGCTATTATGAGGTATACAGCAACAATTTTCATAATCAAATTAAGTGAAATATTATTTATTATTATTATTATTATTATTATTATTATTGTCGCCAGAAATAAAAAAACCTAATCAAGTGCATGTTTTTTCCACGGCTTCGGCGGCCGCCATGACATGTCGAATACCCTTGACAGCGACATTGCACAACTTCTCTAAAAAGTAGAATTTTGCTTGTCAATATTTTACATATAGTCTTGTAAAAAAGAAACAGAAAAAGTCGGTAATAGTTTATTTAACTTATATTCGTTCCGATCTGCGAATATAAATAACTAATAAAAATTTACAAAACGACTTATCTATTTACATCCTTGTGTAACAAAGAATTTGATCGGCAAAATTTATAGTCCTACACGAGATCTATCAGGTAAAAAAATACACAGATTAGTTTCTAACTTGTGAAAAATATTACATAATATGTAAGTTCCTACACTGTAAAAACTAAAAAAAGTTACGTTGGTTCCTATACCAAAAAAAAATTACTTCCATTATAGTTTCTCCTTCCTAGTTCCTATACACTAATCAAGTATCTGTAATTACTGGAATAATAATATGTAGTTATATCATTATTACTATTAATATTATTCAGTTATTTAAATTATTGTTTTTATGATAAAATATAATACAATAATATTTCAATGTTGATATGAAATTAAACGTCAGATCAAATGTCTTTAAAAAAAATATCATAGTTAAAGCATGGGAAGTCGTTTGAGTTGCTTATGATTCTATATCATCTCGATTTGTTTTAAGCTAGATATCCGAGCTATACAATCGTGAGTTTAAAAATGGAAAAATAGAAATTGTTTGGTAAATTTAAAAGAAAAGTATTTCTTGATTTTCATACTCATAATATTATGTATATTAGATATATTAGATATATATTTTTTTTTAATTTCTTTTCTCTCTTAAGCTGTGTATTTTAATAATAATATTGAACATTATATAGAACTCAATATTATTTAATCTAGGTATTCACTGTTATCGTGGCAGTCGACTATTGATTTAATAACATTATTCCGACAATATCCCGAAGAATTATCATCTCATCGAATACATTTTTTAAACTATTATTACAGTTCAATAAATTTTGTTTGAAAATACATTTTTTGTCTTGTAGTTAGTTAGTTAGTTCAAGGTTTCTTTTTCAGTCCTTTTTTCGCATTTCGTTCCCAGGATTCTCAATGTTATATACGCGTATCACATTGTATGATATTTAAAATGTTAATGAAATTAAAATTTATGTTTTGCCGTTTGAGTGTGACGAATTGAATAAACTGTTTAGTTTTTTATGAAATGATTCACAATTATTTGTTGTGAACATCGTTTAGAATACTAATTCGGTCTATATCTGTGGTGGAATCTGCATCGTTACTGCAGTTAAATACCTTTTAAAATTGTAAATATGCTATTCAATAAATTCTATTATCATATTATCATCGTGTATCTGCAATGGCATATTATATAGTACTCAAAAATATCTTCAACCATATCAAAACTTAAAAAAAAAAGTTTTGAAAAGTAGTTCGCAGTTGCCATGTAGCGTAAAATTTTCGCAAATGTTGTGCAACGATAACGCCCCTAAAACGCATTGAAAATACCTAAAGGTTCTACCCTGGATCTGGCTTTCCCATTTTCGGATATATACCTAATATACAATTAAAATAATGGATGATAATATAATATTGAGAATCAACTATTTAATTTATCCGTGGTAATTGCCGAGACTGTACAACGACACGACTACAATAACCATGGATATTTGGTGTTTATTAATAATATTTAAAAGTAAAACAATCAAAAAATAAAATGTTACGTTTATTTATTACACGCAATATCAAGACGACACTCGTTTTTTTTATCAATTCGCACTCTATACACATAAAATCAGTACATAATAAAACATATTTATCAATTATACCTAATTAGTTTTGACATAATATTATTTTATGTTAAACTATAGGTACAGTGTAATTTTTAATTTTTAATAACGACACACGAAAAATAGTCAGTGTAAAATTGTGGAAATAACTCAAAAACAAATAACCAAAAAATGGGAATATCAATAAATGTACAGAAGTAAAATTTTTTGATGATGGGTAAAAATCTACATTTATTGACGGGGTGAATTAATTTGTATTTTCAGAATTCCTATATAATGTTTAATAGGGAAAAATTAAAATGTGTAAATGGTAGTTTTAAATATAATTATGTAAGTTAAATATACTATAACTACATAATATCAAGGGATTTATTTGATGTCTTAACCTGAAAAAAAAATCAAGTATGATTAATTAATGTAACTACAATTTGATAAATTTTTGATCGAAATTTGAAGTATGAGTGGTAATAATAATATAATGATACCTATTCATTTTTAATACAATAAAATAATTTTTGTCAAATATACTTGTATTACCGTTTTTTCGTAAATTATTTTCAATTTTGTAAACCATTATAGAAGCCACACGGTACCGAATTTTCTGGCCAAAAAGGTATTCTGTAAATGACTTCACCCAACTCCATCAACTGCTGTATCACTGGTTGGGACTGGTGACTGGTTTTTCGCCGCTGACTACTCCCAGGAAGTGGACGTGAGTACTCCTCTCTCTGCTGAATTTCTCGGGTCTTCTTTTCCATTGGTTTTTTAATGATAGCAGGAGGTCCATCTGATGCATATTTTGCCAACATTTTTTATGTAAATTTTTCATGATCCTACCAATTATTACCATTTCACAGGGCTGAGTGATAAAAACAGTATAGTTTAGTCACTGATAATACCTATAATAATGGCATCATAACATTCTATAACTCTATATTCATTGTTATAATATTATTATCTTTTACTTTGTTTTCATCCTCCTCAAAATTCTCCCTACACCTTCAGTGATAAAAAATATAAAAAAATCCCTTTTTAATATCTTTCATTATTTCTAAACATAATTTTTTGAAGAAGTCGCATATAAGTTTGGAAGCTGTGCCCCTGGCATCAAACCTTAGTAATTTTACGTCCCAGTTCTCTGTGCCATATTGATGTTGTAGATATAGAATTGTGGGCAGATATAATATGTTTATTTTGTCCTCTCGTACTTCTTGGTCTTAATTAGTATTGATCTCAAACGATCAACACATTTTAAAACTAAAAAACAAAATGTTGTTCGATGCTTAATACTTTTATAGTTTATAATAGTTAATATAGTACTAACTAATATAGTTATTAGTACTTTTATATGGGGGACATGATAAGAGCTTGCACGTGGCGTCCCCTGCATCGTGATATATGACTCCATGCCAGGATAAAATATCACGAACTAATCTTACCAGATCATTTCAAGAATTAACAAATTATTACATATATAACCAACTAAGACCCAATCCAGATAAGACACAGGTATGCAGCTTCCACCTCCGAAACCACGAGGCAAAAAGAGAACTAAAAGTTGAATGGCTTGGAAAACCATTGGAAATACAGAACACCCAGCTTACCTAGGGATCACACTGGGTAGAACTCTCACTTTCAAAGAGCAGTGTAAGAAAACTAAAATGAGAGTTGAAGCAAGAAACAAACTAATACGGAAACTAGCAGGTAACAAGTGGGGTGAAACTCCAAACACTACTGGACTAGAACTTTGTTTCTCCGCTGTTGAGTATGCTAGCCCAGTATGGAGACCCAGTATAAAAACCTGTCCCACCTGCAGAGCATTTACCATGTGAAGGAAACCAGCCATGGATTATATGGAAGACATTAAAAAGGATAAGAACTGGAGTAGCTAAAACAAAAGCAAACATGATGAAATGGGGATACCAGAAAGAACCGGACATACTATGCGAATGTGGCCAATCAGATGACCACTTATTACTAGCCCCGCCAAGATGCACGACCGATGACTAGGCTTTAGCCAACGAAAAAGCAATATCAATGGCCACTCACTGACTAAAACAAAATATTTAAACATTAATTTTATATTTTATATTCATATTTTAATCTACTATTTTTATATTACTTTATGGTATTTATTTATTAATGTAATAGCATATAGCCCCAACACCAGACACGATAAGAAGAAGAATACTTTTATAGTTTAAATCAAAATTTAAAAAAAATTACATAAGACATATTATGTTATGGATAATAATACATCCAAAAACATGTAATTAAACATACAATCCATCGCTTTGTCAGAACTCGATATAACAACCACATTATTATATACCTACCTTATTAATATTATCATATACTATGTTACCTCTTGCGAGTACTAAGAAACGCACAATAATTTATGTATACGAGCATCCATATCGCGTTATTGTATGTTTCACGAAATGAACAACTTTACCATGGCTTCGAGTAGTTACACAATATGGATCATATTTCGTGAAATGGATAACTAAACCGACATAAACAGAACTAGTTCCGACATTTAGATGTCCAATATCCATATAGCAAAAATTAAAAAATCTTTAATTTTTATACATTCATATTATTCTATTAAAAAGAAACAAAGTAACTGTCGTAAATAAAAAATGTTTAATAAATAAATAAATACTTTTCAAGTTACGAAACGTGCGTCTGATGCGAGACTGTGAAGTAATGAATTACGAAATACTATCATCTAACTTGAAAAGTATTTATTTATTTGTTTAACTGGTTGACAATTATATTTTTGTTATTTTTTTAATGACTTGATATGAGCACTCAATTTTAAACCAAAAAAAAAAAAATAACGAGCATTGCTATTTGCTATTTAACTTATGATAATAATTCGTAATTCATTACTTTGCACAGTCTCGCATCAGACGCACGTTTCGTAACTTGAAAAGTATTTATTTATTTATCAAACTTTATTTAGGATGGTTACTTTGTTTTTTTTTAATGGAATATAATGAATGTATAAAAGTTAAAGTAATTATAATATACTATGTATTAATGTTTTCTAAGATACATGTATGTTAATTGCTTATAGGTACCTAAGTTTATAAGATTGCTTTAAGTAATACATTTTTTTGAGTTTAAAATAAATAACATATAAATAAAATTTGATTAAATTTATTCAAAACTTGTATTTGATTAATATACTAAATGGTATACAATAAAAATTTACATGGTACTTTTGATCTGTATATTGTAGAAATTATTTTTTTCTGGAGATCGTCATAAAGTTCCCAATTATTTCCTGTTTACATTATATTTTGCCCGTTAAATGTACCAACTCTGTATGACTCAAACTTTGTTCAATTCGTTATATAATATTCTGTGGATGGTGTTCAAAACTTATCTTAACTTTTCCGTTGCACAGAATAAAAATTCTGGTTTGCAGCAGTAGGTACATTATAAGGTAGGCAATCTACTTGCGGTAGATCGTTGACCCCTTGCTGTTTGTACACACGTTTATGATTTAACTATAGAGACAGTATCAAAGTTACACGAAGTTTGTCATTTTTACTTAATTTCACCTACGGTGGATTAATATAATCAATTCATACAAAATCCTAGCCTAACCTAACCACACTAAAATCTGATGAATAAAAAAAAAAAACGATTTTTAAATTAGTCTGTCTTCTTCCCAGATGTCTAATCCACACACAAACATTAATTTATAAATATTGACAAAAAATAATAATACAAATCAACAAACATGCAACCGATAGCAACCAATAACAAAACACTGTTGAGCCACTGTTGTATTTTTTACATCCAGATTTCCTACTTTTCCGGTTAACTTCCTAAAAATTTTTTTCGTAAAAACCTTCTCCTTGCAATTACGAACATCTTAAAAAAAATTTGAGCCAAATCGGACCGGCCGTTCTCGATTGATGAGGTAACGACATTTTTCAATCTCCATTTTTATATATATATAGATTATAGCCTGTAAGTTGAATTAATATTATAAATTACAAGAAAATAACTAAAATCGCTATTTTTGTTTTTATTTTTATTCGTTTTTATGGCGATAAACAAAGCGTTAAAAATTAAAATCCCATTTTTAGCGGTTTTTTGTAATTTGTAGGTGGTTTTTTCTCTTGACATTAAATACCTATTGAGAAAATCAAAAAATTACTTCCCTAAAGTACCATCTTCATCCACTTTCTGGTAGTAATTTTGTATACAGGATATATAAAAAAAAAAAAAACTAAACACCATTGTAAAACCACTAGATCCCTCTCTCCACTCAGAATCTAAAATTAAATATAATATAATAATAATAAATTTAAATGTAAAATCATAAATGTAGATCTATTTTTGGACTATCAAATTTTTTGTAAGAATAGATGTTGAGTAGATCAATAGAAGAAATAATGTATTTATGATCTTCTCTGAAGGATGTGAAATATAATATTGAAGAGATGAAAAATCGTCAAGTGGTCCCGTTCTATATAGCTGTACATTGGGTATCGAGTACCTATGTGATTGTAATGAATGTGTTATATTTGAATTAAATGATAAATCTTTGCATACAAAAAACGACTCTGAACGGAGACATTGTTTAATTTAGTGAAGAAGTTTTTATCGCAATAAATATAAAAAAAATTACAATATTCAAAATTTCTTATGGCTTATTTCAAAAAGAGACAAAATATTTTGATATATTAATTAATAATAAATTAACTTTAACTTTTGAACTTGTTTGTGCTACTCGGGCTTGATTACATTTCATAAATAAATGATTGTAAAAAAATATACTTTATTGAAGTGAAACTCCTTTACAGATGGTACTAAGAAAAAAAGATTATCGCCCGTCATGGTCGGCCACTCGGCCGTCATGTCACACAAAAATAAAGTAATAGCTTGATACCATGAGCTATCAACCATGATGTTGCTACTTACTGGTTCGGTTCCTCACGTACGCCCAACACGCATTTTTTATATACTAAATGTATTCAAATTGTCAGTGGTCACTTATGTCATAGAAAAATAAAAATATATCAATAGGTACCTTCTTTTTTGCGTCATCAATCGTTTGATGTTTTACTATAGTTCACCATGCTTCCCTTTTGTAACTTAATTATTTTAACTCTTTATAGCTATCCTTTCCCATATCTATCATGACTTGTTTCATGTATTCTATCCTTACCTAGTCTTACTCTTCCAATATACCTTTCTAAAACTCTTTACGTAAGACTAGGTATCATGTCTTAGTAAGTGTCCTATAATTTTGTCTCTTCTAACTTTGATACTGAGCAACAATTTTCGTTTTCCCTTTATTCTAATTAATACTTCTTCATTTGCTATTATTTCAATCCATTTAAAGCATTTTGTGATACCACCAATACTTACCAGCAATTAACTACATTTCATAAATAAATAAATGTAAAAAAAATAAATATATTTTATAATTTATATGGTTTATTTCGGGAATCTATTATCTAATATTTAACAATAATCATATTGATTAATATTGTTTATTGTAGAATCTAAAATGTTGTAATTTATACAATTTTCCATTTCACCGTATTTTTTACTGATTTTGTTTTTGTGTTAATATTTGTGGATCTTATTTTGATATGTATTTAGATACTTATTATACGAAAAGAGTATTCATTATTGCTTTTTCTACAATGAAACAATATTTTAATTTTTCAATATTATTATTATCTCTGAATCTCTGATACAGAATAGTTGGAATTGAAATAATTTATATTATAATTTATAACTAGAGAGCAAATTTTTAGAATTTTTACAATATATATATATATATATATATGTATAGGTATCGGTAAAATACTATTGAGGGGGGACGGCATTTTTACCTAGTACCTAATACGATCGAGAACGCTCATTTTATATTATTTTTCCAACGTTGCCATATTAAATATTTTTTATCGAACTAGTGAGCAAGTTATTTAGTACTGGTGTGGATAAATTGCATAAACTAATTTCAAAATGCATATTATAAATAGTTTGAGGACCTACCTAGAAAAGTTTACCCAGTCGTGTTTTGGTCTATACAGTTAAAAAATCATAAAGAAGTCGAAGAATCGTTTTCAGAATAATGAGTTGTGTTACAACAAGGAAAAAAAATTAAATTAAAAACTAGTAAACATTAAAAATAAATATGATATGAGTTACGAAATAAGGTTCATTTATTAAATTATTTAGAATATGTTGGTGAACATTATCCAGGTATTGACATATTATAGGCTATAGGTACCTTATTAAAACTTATTATTTATTAACCCATTATTTGATTATTCAGACATATTATTTTTTTGAGATTTTAAACTATTATAATTTCTGAATATAATACTTTGAACAATTTCATCACACATTTTATTTATGTTGATTAAAACTTCTTACATATCAACAATACGTATACTATTATAACTATTATTTTTCGCTAGGTACACTTCAATTTTTAGTTTAATAAAATTCAAAGCACTAAATCGTCTGAAAGCCAATTAATAATGTGGCGACGTTGTACAAAATTATAAAATAAACACGTGATGAAAATTTTAAATATTTACAGTTATTCGCTTTTAAATCAATACAAAAAAGAGAATCGTTCAATGAATCTTCGACAATTTACAAAAGAATGTCCAATACCTAAAATATTTAAACATCAAACACTGATAAAAATGTACAGTGGATTTATACTCAACATTTTTTTTAATTTACATTGACACCAACTTAAGAAGAATTTTGTACTTGACAGCAAAAAGTTATTTATCGATAATAATTTTTAAAAAAATAGAAAATTTCTCGAGACTCTAAACAGCTCAAAAAGAGCCATGTATGAAAAATTATCATATAAAGTATAATATACAGTTTATATGGTTTGTGTTACACCAAAAAAACTAAATTGATTTTGTCAAAAACTGGTCTTGTTTAAAAATCCCAGTTTTCCAAATTTTTGGGTGTATATCGACTACTTATCTCGTCGACATACACAAGACTAAAAATAAAAATACATACTTAATATTATCATTATAAAATTAATACATTCATCCATTCACTCAGAATCTAAAATGTTTAAAAAGTTAGAACCTTTTTTTTCTAATAAGAAACATTCATCATAATAATAATGGTTTTCATAAATATTTATTAGGCAATGTTATAAGCATTTATATTTTTGGGAAGCACATCAATTTATCATATGCAACTAAAAAAAATTGAGCACATCTATGGTTATCAATTATTATTATCAATATCAATTAACCCAATAAATACCTATATGAAGTGCCCTTGTGAGGTGCACTTTCCTTTATAAAACCATTAGGTATATTTATTGGAAAAAAATAAACTTTATTTTGAAATCAACCTCCAAAATATTATGAAAAAACAGTGAATATTTTAGTTCACATTAGTTTGGGTGGATTTTATATATTTTATAACTCATCGGCCGATGACATCAAAAAGGGCATACATTCTATACCTGTAGTTTATTCTTGTAAAAAAAAGGTTCTATAAATATATCCAATTATAATATCCATTTTATTTTACCATATCCCACTCAGACGTCATCATAATACTACTCCATTATTAATTATTAGTTGGTTAAGAAAACAGGTCAAGTCACAATAGTGTAATACTCATACTTTACCCCGTATAAGAACTTTATCCCTAAGCACCGGATGGGTAGGTATTTAAAATGATTATATCAAATTCGATACAAGATTGGAGAAGTTACTTTTTATTTTGTTATTTTAAAAATATCACTGAAGCGTAATACTATTATGTCGTCAATGCATTAACTACGTAATTATACGAAATGTTTATTTAAGATCCAAAAAAGACAATGATTGTTCAACACATTTTATTCTTTGCTTTTTAGATTTATTTTAAATAACAATGCATTTTCTAAATCACTATTTTAAAATGACTTAACTATCTACCTATTAACTATAAAAAGTAATTTCGTTGCAATACCTAGGTAACTATTGTAACTTGAGTAAGTCAATTCCCCAGCATTGCCTGATTTCCACATTATAAATGGACAATTGCCAAAACCGAGTTCAACTCAACCAACTATAGATATTATGCTTAAAATATAATCAATATATTTTAATATTAATTAGTATTTACTATTTAGTAGGCACTTAAATAATACGAGTAGTAGAATAACTATCAGATTTTAACAACGGATCGCCTCCAAATTATTATTTTAAATATTACAACATTTTAATTTAAAAACAATAATTGTTAGTATCTATATTATATGTTTTGGTATTTAAAAATGTTTTTTTTCTTCTGACAGCACACTAATTTTAAGTACACCAAGTTATAATATGTAGGTATAGCATAACTTGCCCCCCCCCCCCCAATGTTGATGACTTTTGAATTCAGGATTGAAAATTTAGAACATCCGAATTCTAAGCATAACTATAGTGAAGACAAAATTTGATTTATTGTGAATAGTTGTAATATAGTTAGAAAAGGTGGTGTATAATATTATTCAGGAATGTTTAGTTCATTTTAGATTAAACTCACAGTATTCATAATAAAACGTAATTATACTTATTATGACATTAAATATTTGTAGTAATATTTAATATATTTATTCATTATGTCACATGACGACAATATTATAATATCAGTTCATCGAGTGATTATGTCTAGTGAACAACACTAAATGAAAATTAGCTCCACATATTTGGGGCTTTTTCTTATAACTGGGGATTGAAATTGTGTTAACTATTTTCGATATAATATTTCTTTATTGTGAAATATTATGCTTATTTTTTATTTTATTACCATCATCATCTTTATCCCGCTATTATGAGCAATTTTAGAAAAATTAAAAAAAATATTTGGAAAATTGCTTCAGAAGTCAAAGATTTATTGCTAGAAATTAATTATTGCAGTGATGAATAACCAGAATTAATTTCGGAATAAAAATTAACAAAATCAATTTTAATGTATTTAATATGTATTCAATCAAAATATTGTTTTATATTATAAAATTATACATGCCTGATACCTATAATATATAATATTATATTTCAAAATTATAGTCTTAAATTTATAAATATTATAAGTTATTGACTACAACTGCTCTCGCTGCACACGTAAACTACATAAATCAGCTATTACGTCAAACGTTGATTTACATTTTACTCAACAGGGACTTCACCTGCTGCAATTATCGAGTCTTTGTCGAAAGTCAAGTCGTCCTTGGAAGAGTCACTGATGAGTTTTATTTTCATCGTTTTTGAACTCTGAGTATCGCGGTGCTGGTAACCTATGAATTGACTAATCGGTAACCTTCCGATATTCCAGTCACCGTAGAGTTGAGGGTGTTCTTTAGCCGTGTCCGACACAGCGTCTCGGACATAGTCGAAATGGTCGAATATGCTTTGACTCTTCCTCAATCCGTCGGGATTCTATGCGGATTTCCAATAACAAAATATGTAAAGTTATTCGAACATCGCTAACGAACATGAATTTTATTAAATATATTATATATTACGTTTTCGGCATAATTCATCCAAGCGTATGAAAACAGACCGGCGAGACACGGTTCTATGGTCATATCACAAAACGTTCCATATGTGTCTTCGTCTGGTCCACCGGCGGTAATCGCCAAGACTGTGAACAAAATATAAATATTTATAATGTCATATAGGTGGTAGTTATATACATTCTATCTAATGAAATAATAGAGAAATTAAATGTTTAACTTTGCTCGGTAATAATATAATTATCTTGATTTCGAAAATATTTAGAATATAAAAATCAAAATCAAACCGATTTGAATGAATTTATAAATGTTGGTATTTAGTTAAGCTAAGAGTTAATAGACAACTTTTTTACATTTTTATCAATTATAACACTAGCAAACAGCATACTTACTTTTTTTGCCTTCTTAAAACTGTATAGTTTAACATATGTGTATATATAATATTATATAGCGACATTAAATCGAAATGTAATGAAATAAAATATAAATTAAATAAATGATCGTGACTTCTTAAAATACTAAATTTAATTGAGTAAGTTCACGTTAACTATAAATTATAATAGACAAGTTATATTAGTTAAGGAAAAAGTTTGAATTAAATTAACTTTTTAATTCATTAATGTCTATGAAAGCGTATTGGACTATATAAATCGATCTGAACAAAAGATCAATACTTAAATGAAATCAACTCTTCTAACATCTAATAGTAATTTAAATTGGACCCTTCCCGAAAAAAAATATTATTTTTATTTATATCTGATTATTATGAATTTTCTCGAAATATTGTTAAATGAAAACGTTAGTTGAAAAATCAACCAGAAAATTATAATATACATACCGTTTATATTATGAGGAAGTGTACGGTTTTCGAACATGGCGCCAGAATGACTCGATTCTAAGTACATCAATATCTATGTAAAAATTACGAAATATGTTATATACATATTTATTATACACATTAAAAAAAAGTATATTTATAATTTCTATTACATTTTTATAACTATTACGACTTTGCATTAGTTGAAAAGTTGTTACAAGTTGGTCTCCGTGCAAAAAGGTGTCTTCGCCGGAATCCGGGAATTCAATCATTCCACCATGGCCTCCAAGACCCGTGTAGAAAATTAAAATATTGTCTTTATTCGTACTAAAACAGAATTTTACAATAAATCATGACGTGTAACTACACTGCAGTGGCGTAGTCAGGTGGAGCTAAGGGGGCTTAGCCTCCCCCCACCATTGACCGTATTTATTTTAGCATATACCTATATAATATTATATAATTATTTTACAAAAAGTGTAAGTGAAGAAAAGTTTAATGGGGAATATTTTTTCTAATTGGCCCTTCTCCCCCTCCCCAATACAAATTTCTCGGCTATGCCACTGAACTACTGTTTAGGTGATTTCAAATTTTTTTTAAGTTTTTAGGGAGGTAGTTACACACAAGATGACTAAATGTGTCGTGTATACATAAAACAAAATAAAACAGTAGGAAGGTAATACCTGACTTTGATAATTATTGATTCATTACATTTTATTCTTAGAATCTTGTGAATAATAAAAATTACATAACAATAAACCTATCTATCTTATAAAAATATTTAAATACATACAAGTTTCATACGTCGCATTAATTGATTAAAACAATATTCTATTGCGATTTGCAAATACCACTGTAGCTATTTGTCTGTTTTTTAACATGTTTTTTTTCTATTATTTCATTTTAAAGTATTCCCGACAATGGTAGGTAATCAAAACTTAATTTTACTGTATTTTGTTTTTTGGCATTTTAACAATATATATTACAATTATTTACAAAAATTTACAATGATTAATGATACAATAAAATAGATTGTATAATGTATATAATAATAGTAGTATAATAATTAATAATAAATGCGGTACCAATGATTAAATAAATACGATAGGTAAATATTTTTAAATTAGGTATTATTGTTGAGTGACAACATCATAAGGATATCTACGTTTGATCTGACGGGATGTCACTTTGATGAAAACATTGAGCACTGTTTGCATGATTTCATTAGGTCGAAAAACTTTTTTGATAGATTTTTATTTAAGTTTTAATTTCTAGAAAGTTTGAAGTCGATATTTGGGAAGGCGTATTTGAAATTGTTGATAATATTGTGGACTGGAAAACTTGAATTTTATTTATATGAGTAGCAGTGGCACAGTTGCCGCAAAAGGGGGCAGTATACTGTGTAGGTACTATAGTATATGGGCCGTAGAATTTGTTTGTAGTTCAAACAAGGAGCATTTTCAACTTAAGCTGGTTCTTCAATTTTTTTTTAAGTCTAATTTTAATTTTACAGTCAAGATATTTTATGTAAATTATTTCAAAAACTAATAACATCGTGTGGATTTGTAGGTAAAACTATGCCTACTACTTTTGACTTTTGACTATACATTTATAGAAATGGCTTTTTTATAAATAAAAAAAAACCCAGGGGAGTATTGGTATGCATAGGTCTATGATTAAGATTGTTTAGAGTGTACCTATCTTGTCATCATTTAATAGGACATTGTAATTTAACATAATATTATGTTAAATTTGAATATTGAATTACCATATAAGGTACAAACAACGATAATGATTGGAGACAGTGAGTGAAAGCCAATATTTAATAGGATATTTTATCATTTATTTCTATAATTATTAATAAAAATGTATTTTTCTATTGTTATAACTATACCGGCTACCACCATGTAATTGTACCTACACAATTTTAAATGTTCCTAAACTCGTTTTTGTGGTCATACATTTTTTGAATTATTACAAAATAACTAAAATCGTTTAATGAAAAACCGTTTTATTTTGTCTCAATACAAAATATATTTGCGGATTATACATACAAATTAGATTTTAAAGTTCCGGTTACATTTAATGTGGCTTTACACCTGAATTTTTTTTTTTTTACAGTCAACAAAGAATGTAGGAGAAACTTTGTATTCAAATGTAATGGATTATTACTGATATTGTACTTAATTTAAAATCCAAACTAATAATTTCTCAGTTCTTATAATTTTTATACTAATAGGATATTAGTCCTTAAAATAGATTTTACAAAAATATAAAATAGGTGTAATATTGGATCTAGTATTTATCATACTCGGACCATTTTTACAAATAATTAATGTTGATAGATTAATATTAACCACTAAAATGTTCAAATCACATTAGCCTAGATATCTTCAAGACCCATCATCAATCATCATGGACCTATATTATCTATTGAACACAAAATGAAATAACTCAAAAACAACTCATTTGAATTTTGATGCTGATACTTCAACATTTTCAAAAAAAATAAGCCAGTGAATAGTTTATAGGGAAGTGGGGTACTCATTTAAAAAACAGAAGTTTGTATCGCCACACAACACTCCTCAAGTAATAAAAAAAAATTCAAGCATTTGAAAATAATGGTCTTTGAGTATAGTTATATTTTAAAATGTTCAAAAATCAGATTTCGAATAATTCAATTAACTTGATAAAAAAAAGGAGTGATCATGCTTGGTGAATCACAGTGTATGCGCTATAAAAGTGTGGTACCTATATATAGGTACATAATATTTAACTTTTGACCTCTGCTGTGACCAGGAAAAACTTAGAAAGAAGACGATACCTACACAATCGTTGTAAAATCAATAGCCTATGATATAGCTCTGCTCTGAATCCAAAGGCCAATTTTCTGCGCACGTGATTTAGAGGTTAATGGCTTTCGGGTGGGACAACTGCATGCGTTCAACAGTCTTGTCGTGATTTATCGTGTTCGATTTAAATTTCAAAGAGAATTCACGAGTTGATGGTATTTCACAACACAATTGTTAATTTTAAAACTAATATTATACTATACAATTTATAAATGTTTGTAATTGGATCGACTGCTATTCGTCTCTTTGCAATTCACTAATAGGTAACGTTCCAATATGCGACCTACAAATGTTACTCGACCTACCGGTAAGATTGTGTTGATCTAAAGGTTTCTTTATCGCGTTTATAATTGTCGTTATAGACATTTTATTCTATTTTTATTCATAACAACACGATCTGAAACAATACAGTTATTGACGACACTGAGAAGTGGAATGAAAAAAAAAGGTTAGTTAAAATTATTTGCATTTAAAATTTATGTCGTAGGTCGAGTATTGGACCTTAAATCAGTGTGTAGTTCGCATATTGGACCGTTACCCAATAATAAAATAAGCAACTTTAGGGATAAAATGGAAAGCACCAAAAGTGCAGCCCCAAAATCGATGGTTCGATTTTTTTCTTCGAATAGGAGACTATTGTTACAATTAATGTCATATACCACATATATAACTATGTTTCAAATTTAAAGCCCATCGGCCATCACAATACAAAACTTACCTAAATACCACTCGTTCACTTCCGATTCCTTTTACCTTCATCTTGTATCCTCGAAGGACGTCCAAAAATACATCTTTTCTGACATTCTACACATAAAAATCTTTACTTATGACTTTTTTACAAATAAAAATATATAAGTGGCTAGGTACCCACCTACACTAAATGAATATAAAAAATAGTTAAATACCTAACTATTTACTTTAATGCAACATTTACATATATTATTCAAGACTTAAAATCGAAATTAAATTGTTTGGTTTGAATTTCAGTTTGTGTTTATCGAAGTAAGTTTTTTTGTAAATTAAACTTTTAAAAAAAATATTGATTTTATTATTTTCTGTTTTTATTTTGTTATTTGTTGCAAAACGTCTAATCAATATTTTTCTTATTTTTAAACAAAATTCAAACATTTGTTTTACATTTCTATGATTTCAATTTAAATTTCTACAAATGAGCCATAAGTATCTACAGAGGAATGAGGATCGTCGTTTGCGCATCAGTAGGAGTGGCCGTGAAATGGTTCTAAATAATCAAAAGTACCGTAATGAACTATATTTTTAGCTTATTGATTATTATTGAATTTAAAATTTTAGCTCGATAATATGCAAACATTTTTAAAAGATAATTATTTTGGTATTAACAATACCTTTTTACAACACATTTTTTTTTAAACATTTATAATATCATAAAAAAAATTAATTTTTATATTACTTTTGATAGAGGATTTTGATCGATAGTTTTAACTGATTTTGAAATTAATTTAATGTCCTTATTATAATTTATTAATATAACTATAGGTATAATATAGTATATTTGAATAAAACTTATTACATTGTATTTATAAATAACTTATTTATGAATCAACGATCGATCTTTGTTGTAAACGAAGTCGCAAATCTATACTTACTTCACCAGAATAATCAATTGGTACACCTTCATATACATTTGTACCATTTGGCTCGTTTCGAATCACACCAGGTTCGGGATTTCTAAAAAAAATAGAATTTTGTGGAATTAATATAATACGACACTACTATATCATATAATTAAATTAAAAACATCTGTATAATTTCTTCTGAAACTCAGAAACTGGGAGTAAAAAGTACCTCGAAAGATCGAGAACGCCCAGTAAAATAAACCTAGTACTAAAAACTTTACGGCTTCTAACGTTACAAATTAAATATTTAATTTCTTTTCATTCTGTTTTTTCATTAAAATAATGATAGTAAAGCTCTATAAAAAGCAAATCGAACAACATAAAAAAAACATTTTATTTTGCATTTAAAAAAAAAAATCAATACATACGTTAATTTATTACTCTGTTAGATTACATAGGTTTCTTAGAATAGTCTAAGTGTTTTATACATTGTGTTAATAATTTATTATAATCAATAATTGTTATTTTCGGGTTGAACATTAATAATAATTATTATAACGGTAATCAGTGGATTTTATAGGTTCTTAAAACTTCAAAATGTGGTTCTAAAATGCTCTAAAAAAACATTAAATATTCTCTTAATAATTCTTAAACTGGTAAAATATGCTGAAAATATGATTTCTTTAACTTCACAGAAATTTAAGACCTGTACACAATATTATAGTAGCAGTTATAGACAAATAGTACATCAAATATTAAATAAATATGTTTTTATTATTACCATCCATTAATTGCACCTATTTTATAATAATATGCTTAAACTTGAAAATAATTATCACTCATCTTTTTCTTTGATATACCTAAGTTATTTAAATTAAGTCACATTTGAAATAACTAAAATTTATCTTCACAATAGCTCCTAGGCAAAGTTACCCCAAATCACAGTTGACAGCATTTAAACTAAACGAAGCTTTAGATTTATTATTTAGTTAGGTATTATAACGGATATCAAGATCAGCTGTTTCAATGATAATTAATATAGGCCCTCTCAAAACATTATTACCAATACATATTACAATAATGTATCGCCAGCTAATATTAAAACAAATATTATAATTGGTAATTTTTACCAACAAAGTCGCAAACTAAACCCGTTTAGTTATGGTAATTATTAAAACTTTATTTTATTTTTGAAAAAAACAATAAATAATTATTCCACTTATTAGCTTTAGACTTTGGTAAACTATTTCAATTCAGTCACACTTGAAACAATTAAACAAACTACACATTTGAACAATTCTAAACTAATTAGGTATTGAACGATTTCTATCATTTTTAATTTTTAAATATTAAAAACATTAAAATTACATTTTTTTTCACGAACTCTATAATGGATAAATCGTTCAAATTTTTCACCCCATTGATTGCAAAACTTCAATACATATGGTATGTAAAAACCTGAAAATTCGCTCTAAATGTAGAAGATACATAATAATATATAATATTATTATAGTAATTATTAATTAATGTTAATCATAATTTGGCTCTTATAAGGATCGAAAATTTTTTTAGGCAGGCCAGGAAGATTTAACCATACAAATTAGTTTTTTTTTAAAGCCTGACAGGCCATAAACATGAATATAAGGCCAGGCCACAGACCTGCCATTCAGCCATCCAGCCTGTCTAGTCAGAAGTTTAGAAGATTGACTTATAAATAGATATCTTTATGGGTCCATGTTAAAAACTCCTACATGTTTCTTTATTTTATTTTCGGACATTATTTTAGTTTTTTTTTATTCTTGTTCAAATATTAACTTAGGATAACTACAAATCCTAACTAAACACTTTTTTTTTATTTTAAGGCATCAACTGCATGGTTATTACTATACTCATTAGCCTTTTTTTACTGTAGGGGGTAAGGTTTGTTCATAGCTACTGTTGGTCAAAACGATGTCGGCTTATACTTTAGCCCCTCGAATTAATATTACTTAATTATACTTATGCCTAAAGTGTTTTTTTCGTAACCATTTAAATCGGTTAAAGTTAAACAATTTATTATATCGTACGCGTATTACCATTATTATTGGAGAGTAAAATATTTTATGAGAAGACCCCTTGGTAAAAAGTAAAAACTGTTATACCAACGGTTAAGCACGTCGGATTATACACACCGTATTTAGTACAAAAATATGTCTAACAAGATAAACTCTCACGCCCGGTAGAATACCTATTCAGATTTCGATATTTTTTTTTTTAAAGAACAGAGCATTTTGCATGTCCAATAGGCAAAATTATAATTATAGTAACTAAAATTTGCATTTGAATAATGCACAATATTTGTTAATTTTCAAATTTATTTTTCTAGCACTATTTATAATAAAAGCTCCTGTGTTGACTCTCAAACGGCGTTATTTAGTTAACAATTTTATTATTTCTACTTTCTAGTCTTCGCGTGTGGTTGGCGCAATGTCAATATTTTAACTTAATTTGTATAGTTATTGTTACAATTTGGTTAAATATTGTTTAACAATATTATAATGTCGAGTGACTAAGATGATGACTTGATTTTGGCAGCAGTACATTTATTATTATAACAAAATATTTAAGTAGAAAAAATGTAAATCCTTAAGTTCGTCATTAGTGGATGACATCTTTGAACTGACATAATGTGAACTACGGTACTAGTCATTTATTGGATGATAGTATATTGAAAGAAAGTCAAGGGAAAAAATGTTTGTAAAATATGACACCAGACATTTTTTCTTGGCCTTGTAAAACCTCTAATTGCTAAAAAAAAATACAATTTTCCAGAAAGCTATAATATAGAGATTTGCGATAGCATCGTACATACGTTTTCTACCTACACCTGGATTCAAAAGCTCATCATACCAGTTTAATATATCAAAACAAGTACATTCAACTATAATTCGATATTTTATTGAAAGGTTGTGTGAAGGTAAATATAATTTTTATTAAATTCAATACACTCAAGTATGTTTTTTTTTTAAATAACTCTATTTTTCATCTTTGAATACAAAAATAAAATTATAAATATTATAAATTATAATTTATAATAAAAAATAATAATTGGTGGCATAGAAATTAACATTTTTTTTTTTTTTTTGCAATACAATTTTAAATACAAATAATACAAGTTGATTTTACTGTACTTGTATAACTTAACTATCTTTGACTATTTAAGCTAAGTGATAACAGGTGATGACGATGGTAGCACAGGAATGAAATCTGTAAACTTTGATCTCTCATATTTATTTGAAGTTGTTGGAAAATATGTTTATTCGTCATAGTTTGGTCGTCGAGTTAAAGGGGAAATATCTGAATCACTCAGAATATTAAAAATTAGGTTGCTTGTTTGGTTTTGAAGAATTTGCCTGTTCCAAGCTTTAAATAATTTAAAACTTTTTCCACATACTCTCCAAGCTCGGAGAATTCATCACTTTTTGGAAAATTTTGTATTTTTTTCGGATAATTCCTTTATAATAAGTCTTGAAGCTTCTACTACACTTTCGTCTTGTTAATTTCTTTTTCTCTTATTAATTATTTTTTTTTGTGAGATAAATTCTACAAAACGCCATTTATTTTTTCAGTTTCATCTTGGTCTAGAAGGTCTAACGATATATCGGCATATTCTATAATTTCAATTTCAGATGACCCAGCACGTACAGCCTAAAATTTTGTACAACAATTAATTATATGATTGAATAATATTATATTGCGGTGTTATATGGATTTAATTTAATTTTTTTATATAATTATATTATTGTGCAAAAGAAATGCAAAGTAAAAGATTCATAATTGAGTTCATATTGTTACACATTTAACATAATTTAAACTTTGTATTAAGAAAGCTCCTTAAGTTACAGTGAGCAATAAGAAAAAAAGTAAAGTTTTCTACAAGCTCAAATGCCACAGCCCTTACTTTAATAAGAAAAATAAATTTACTACTAAGTTCTTATAAAATAGATAACCACAATGACTATACCAGTACCTAAAACCTATAAAAATAGCTTAATTTAATAATAATTATATATGTACTTACAAGTATAGCAGATTTATCTTATGCTGTAGGCATAGATTTAAACTTCTCTTTTAAAAATGGGATTGATTGAAATGCAAACCATTTTGAGCGGTAATTGGTATCACTGACTGCTGCACCAAAAGTCTTAACACTTCGATTGTGTTCTTTATGATAAGATGCAAGTAATCTATCTTTATTTTCGCTTCGATGGCATTTTTATTCAACTCAGACACAATTTCTCCCAAATAATTAATTTTCTCTTTGTCCGATTTGAAATGAGAACAAGTGAAATCCCAATGAATCGGGTGGTTCTTATACAATATTTTATTAATTAAAAAAATTCTCATTATTCCATTCCAAACCGTTTAACATTTTTAAAACAATTGTAAATTAGTTTAAATTAAAATAATAATGTTCTACATTTCTCACTTACCCCCTATGTATAAAATCAATACGACACTGACACGATAGTGGCATGTTATTCAGGGTAAACACTTAAAATTAGAAATAATAAATTGAGTTAACAACAAATCATTCCGGAAAATACCAGTTGTTGACGTTCTATTACCTATACGTCCATATCCAAATAATATTCTCTTTGATGTACCGCCGCCCGAGTGTTCGTCTGCGAACTCAAATGAAAACGTTTTATGGCATTCTTTCGGCTTCGCGGATAAGTTCACACTAAAAATAGAGCCCACTAATATTTTGACCAAATCTACATTTGTTTGAGTTCATCCATCAGTGTGGAAACACCTCAAAGGTTACAAATTAATGGTCAGTGATGCTCAAATAAATAATAAATACAGTGGTCATCACTTATTGGACTTACGGTTATTGGATTTAATCTGGCTGGTCCCGGTTTACATTTTGTACAATAATTAAATATTAGTCTAACGGACTACTGGTTAACGAGTCAAATATATTTTTAAGGACATATTTCCTCAATTTTTTGGTCATTTGCCTGATTTTATCGCTTATATTTAGACGATTAACACTATTTCCTCGAATTATCCCAACGAAAAGTATTAAAGATTTGAAAATATTCTTTACATTATTTGAATTCATTATTTACGAATTACAAAACATTGTTTTTAAAAAAATTAAATATTTATTATTTGTATTGTTATCTTTGTTTATGTTTATTTTCTTTGTGAACGGCAATTTGAAATGCATTAATAATTAATATTTATCAGTGTATGGCCAAATTTGTATATTTTATTACAATGCATTACTTTGTATATATTTTAAACCGGGGACCTTTCACCTTATTGATTCATTTGGTTAATGGATTCATGTACTCTGGTCCCTAAGTGAGTTAAAAAAGTGGCAACTACTCTAATAAAATAGACAGTTGTTTTGTCGTGCTCGCATTTATTTCCAGTAGTTATAGCCTATAGGTACTGTTTACTTGTCGCGAGTGCCTAAGTTTGGTACCCTATTTTGTTTTAGTATTCTATTGTTAATTTATAAATAGATTATCTATAGATAAAATAAATAAGTGTTAAAAATTCCAAAAGTTAAACTGTCGTTTTTCTATCGATTGCGAATAATGTAAATATAGTATATAGTTGCATGTCTATAAAAAGATGTTGGTCAATTTTTAAGGGCTACATTTTGCGTTGAAAATGCATGTTTAGGGCTTTTTGGGTTAATTTTAGAAATTATTTTGACAGTTTTCTAGGCATTTAAATCTAGGACCTATTATATTATATTATATTATATTATTTCCTATTATATTACCTGATGTCTTTACCGCATCCACTTGTGTGAGCCAGCAACGAGAACAGCCCATATATTTTGAGAAAATTTACTCGTGTCGCTTTCGATTATGCGAGCGCTGAATACTATTGAGATAAAAAACGCAGATAAAATCCACGATATTAAAAACATGGTTCGGTCGTAAAAACGTATAATAATAATTTATTTTGAAAGCAAATCGATCTAATGATTAGGTACCTATTGAACAATTAAATATCGAAAAATTCGTTTTATATAACATTTTGTTCAAGAGGTTTATTATTTTGTCTACGTTTATTTACTTAAATTAAATATAATATAAGAAGTCTTGAGTGATATTTTAATCAAAATATTAGAACAAGATGTATATAAAAGATGTATATTATATTTTTTTATCAAATAAAATGTATTCCAATTAATGGTCTTACTAGATAATAATAATTTCACTACAGTCGAGGACCCCATATGGGCAGACAAGTACAACACTAAGTGTACCTACTTACAGATATTATTAGAATCAAAATGTAAGCTTAACCACATGGCAGCTGATAGTGTCAAAAGATATTTCTGATATTTGATAATCATATTACGAAAACTAACAAAAATCACTTAGTCAACTAATAGGCGGTTGATGTAGAGTGTGATTAATTTAGAAACAGTTAATAATGTTTGTTAGTAATAATTATAACTTTCATCCCCATAAGTTGTATCTTGAATATAGGTTTGTCTTTGAATTAGAGTTGTAACAATTTAATAATAATACATACAATACATAAATATTATATTTGGAAGTATTTTTATTGATTGTTTCTCAATATTTAAAAACACTATAGTTTATAGGTATAGCTGGTATATTACTAGCTGGTCCAGTAATGTTAGATTTGTTTTAAATTCAATTGCTTCTTGTCAGTTGCTTCTAAAGCTCGTAATAACTTTTTTTAGCGCCTGAGGTTTCGATAGACAAATCCTGGAAAAAACTTCCATCAACAGCACCGATATGTTTGTTATGTTAGGTTCATAGGCAATTAAAAACACATCACATTTACAACTAAACGTATATTTTAACCTATTTAAGCTACTATGTGTCATTTAAAATTATATTTTATACCCTGTAATATAACCCATAAGACATGTTCAATAATATAGAAACGTTTGGGATCGAATATTTTTTTACACTTTAGACAGGTTGTAAAAACTGTAAACTATTATATTACCAACAATTATGCATAGAACTACTGCTGTTACCAGCGCCGTTGCCAGCCTTACTTGATTTTTTTTTTTTATCAATGGTCTCATAATGTAACATGCGATAAGTATTCTAGTTCTACAAAATCTTAAAAAAAATAATTACCTAAGTAACATTTTCAGGCCATGGCCGTGACAATGTAGGCAGAGTAGGCTGTTACTGTTATGTAAAAAAAACAAACTATATGGAATATTCCTATAGCACTTCCATACTAGTTCCAAATAAATTCCAGAAACTCAATGTATTTCATATTGCTTGTAACATTGTATAGAACATTATGTGACTGCTTATTCATATTTATAATATTACCAGATAATAGTATTTTTGAAAAACTACGTAACCTTCAGTAATTTTTTCTAAAAACTATTCTCTGGACTTTTATATTAATCTATTGCTTAATATTTTTAAATATTATGCTTTCATTATGTTTTTCATAATTTTATAGGAACCTACCTACCTACCCAAATTTGTTACAGATCCTCCAAATCTACCTATGAAATACATACATATCTATATCTATCTATACATAATATATATCAAGACGTAGGCATTCAGAATACATCTGATGGAAGTAATCTCTGGAACTACCAGCCAGATTTTAAAAAACTATTTTTGCATTTGAAATCCTAATTCTTAAGGAAGGTCATAAATAGGCTATTGAACATCATGAAACGATCTTCAGGAGCCGAGCAAAAGGATAAAATGTCAGATGTGCCGTGTTATTACGGTGTCGGTTTTTTTCTTAGTTTACATAAATTGTTGTCATTGGTTGCAGATTATAATAGTAATATTATAAATTACATATTATTACGTACTTATTTTTTTTTTTAAGTATACAAATAGTTGGCTATTAATGTGTATATAGGGGTAATTTAACTGTTCATTTGTTTCAAAACAGTGTTTGACAAAATTTTGCTACAGTTAAAAAATAATCGGTTTACAAATATCTAGAGTAAGAAAATATAGATTTTGTATTGATTGATTTTGACGAATTTCGTAACAATTTGAACATTTAATGTTTATTTTAACTCTATATACGATATTTTTTAATAGTGGTAAGAACAACTTAAGTTAAACCTATTGTATTAAATTCTCAAGCTTTTTAACTCACAAATCAATAATAACCAACATAACCTCACATGTAGATATAGGTATTCTCTAATTCAAGACAAACAGATGCCACACACATAATTGTTTTTTTATTATTATACAATTTGAAGATCAGCTATAAAGGAAACTAACTAAGTATAGTGATATTAGTTTAAGTAGTTGACTAATTAAGATTGGTATGCGATGAAGTAGCTATTCAAAAGGTGTGATAAACAAACTTTTAATATCATCACGTAATCCAATATATTTTAAAAGAAAATATTTGGTTGTAATTATTATCATATTCATATACACTATCACTATACAGGATGTAAAAGAAAGACCTGACAAATAAAAAATAAAAATTGATACAAATTAAAAGCGTAAAAAAATTATAAAAATTATATAAAAAATAAATAATTTAAGATTTACTTAGATGTCTGCCAAAATTCTCAAAATAATATTTCGAAAAAATGTAGGTATTAAGTTTCAAATTAATTTATACCAAAAAAATATTGATATTTTAAAAAATTGTAAAAAAATAATCTACTTGACTTAAATAAACGTTTTTAACATTAATATTTTTTTAATTCTTTTAGTTCTTACAAAAAAAATATAATACAATTTATAATTTTCAGTATTCAAAAATAAAAATAAACAAGTGTGCAATTCTAGTAGCTCGAGTGTCTATAAACTATAGGTATATACAAATAATACAATTTTAAATATTTATTGTAACAAAAGTTACCTACCTACTTATTTCATTTGTGAACTCTACAGTTACACCTTAAATAGTATGTAAATATTACACATAATTCAATAGTTGTATATAAATTATTCTAAGGATAATATATCTAAGGAAAATCCATAGACGAAAATCGAGGGGGCGGTTAGCCCTCTAAAATCAAACAATATAATTCCCCCGCCTTAATTTTTGTAATATTCCTTAAATTTGGCTAAGTCATAAATTTCAATAAATGAATTATGCCTATGAATAAAAACAATGGCAACCATAAAAAATAAGTTTTATGACGATCTGTGATATCATTGGTCGTAGTAGATTTAGAGATTTTTTACTGTAACTAACCGTTTTCTTCGATTAACAACTGTGGCATTTATTAATTTACTCCCATACAACTTTATCATTAAGACATAATCAAAGTTTTAATATTGACAATAAAATACAACTTATTGATTTTTAAATTTATGATGCAAGTAATAAGCTCAGTTCACGTAACTAAGTTTGAATATTATATTACGTTTTTGTATTATTATTGATAATCATTTTGTGTACTTAATCGACAATATCGTTGGGTCTCAAGTGGCGCATATGGATACGAAATGTATTTTTGAGATATTTTAATGAATTATAAACAATAATGACCACTTGTACGCATTTATATTTACAATGCACTTACATTACCCAAATAATTAATAATCTGTCAAACAATGATAATATTTCAAGTACATTTTAAAAATAAATAGTCAGTATGCGTAAAAAAACTACTCACAATCGTAAAACGGGCCACCTTGAATAAGGAACAAATGAATAGGTAGGTAAGTTTGAAATGTATACGTAATATTTTTATATTTTGCTCGATCTCAATTATTTTGGATTTAAAATTAAAATTTATAAATGCATATTTGTAGGTATATTATTATAAATTATAACAGAATGAAATCACGGATTATTGTACCTAGCTTCGTGTAGCTGGTACACAAAAGAATCGTACCATTGTATAATATTAATGTGAATTAAAAATGAATATTATGAAGATTACAAAAGTAGGTGGGTAATAAAAAAATAATTATAATAAGAACTATTGAAACGAGATTTTTTTTTGTAAGTAGATTTTTTTCTTTTTTTTTTTTTAAATGAAATATAATTATTATTCAGTTCTGTAGAAAAAATAATTTTGTAGTTTTATTTGCCGATGACATCCGTTCACTTGAAATCTGAAATGAAAGGAGCCGCACGTGACAATATATTATTTTCGTAATTTTATAATAATATATTTACTTATAATGATATCTTATTAGTTAAACATGCGCTTACCTCGATTTTTTCCATTTTTACGGAATTTATTTAAATTCTGATTTTTTACTTTTTTAAAGGTAGGTTTATTCTCAATGACCATTTTTTACTAATGGATTATTTTTACTACTCAAGAAGTAACCTGTCCATAAAAATGGTTTAACAAAAATTTTATGTAATATTGCATCTAGTATTTAATTATTACTTGGACCATTTTTATAAATTATTAATGTTGATAGATTAATATATTTAATCATTAAAATGTTTAAACTACCATAGCGACCCCATATCTTTCAAACCCATTACCGTGGATCTATATTAGTTAGTAGGTACTCAAAGTTGAGCAACTCAAAACTACTCTTACAAATTTTGATTCTGATACGTCAACAATTCTGAAAAGTTATCCACTAAATAATTCACAGTAGATAAGGGGAATTCTCATTTGAAAATCAGAGAAGTTTCAAGTTTGTATCTCCACAGAACACTCCTTAATTAATGATAAATATCTTATGAAATACATATTGAAAATAATATGGTAAAGAACTACATTTAAAAAATTTAAAAATTTAAATTTGAACATCTACATGGTTGAAGAAAAGGGGGTTGGTATGCTTGGTGGGTAAATCACCCTGTATTTAAATGTAAGTGTAATCTAATATGGTATCAATAAATTACACATAAACTTGTATTTGTATATTGAGTATAATAAACAGTAACCGTATACCTTCGTATCTAACTTTTTAATTATTTCTAACGTCGTTTTAGGTGATATCATCTATACAATGTTTATATTTTATAATATCTCTAATTCAGCACTCCAAGGTTACATTAATTTCAGTATATTAGATGTTGAAAAATTGAATCAGCCGTTAAAAGAACAATACAATTACCAATAGATTTAGGCTTACCAATTGATTTATCAGAGAAAGAAATATCGGAATTATCTATTATTAATATTATTATTTATTTTATTTATTCTCCAATAAGATAATGGGCAAAGCTGAACACGTTCGTGTGGGAGCTCATGAATTCACGATTTGTAATGTAGTTAGGTTCCTTGCATTAAATAGTTAGGTGTAATACAATTATATAAATAATTATTATACATTATTTTCATACAACTAAAATATCAATATAGATAAATACATATTGTTTATATAATATATAAATATTATAATAGGTAATGTAACATTGTGTATACATAAAATCGTGCAA